GCGGGGGGGGGGGGGGGCAGCGCAGCAGGCGCAGCATGGCCCAGCAGGAAAGCGAGCGCATCACGGCGTCGCAGCGCCCCCACCTGCGCCGTGAAGCCCCGCCCATCCAGGTCGGAGGGGGAGAGGAGGATGTTGTTTCCCGTGAGATCGGCGTGCACGACGTGCACGCTGTGCAGGAAGGCCAGCGCGCCCGCCACCTCAGCCATCTGCGGCGCCGCACCAGGAGGAAGCGGCAGGGGGCCGCTTGTCGGCATATCTCAGGCCCTGAAACATTCCCAGGCCGCACTCCCTGCCAGTGCTGCAGGAGGTGGCTGCTGGGCCAGCCGGCAGCTGGCCAGGACGGGGCTGCGCTGTGCTGTGCTGTGCTGTGCTGTGCTGTGCTGTGCTGTGCTGTGCTGTCACGTTACCCGGCGCAGCAGACAGGGCCAACGGCAGGCAGCCGCTCACCGTGCGCAGGATGAAGGCCAGGTGGGGCCCTCCTGAGGCCGGGTCCCGAAACCTGCCGGCATCCACGGCGCGCGCCAGCGTGCCCATGCTGCATAGAGACTGCGGGCGGGGCGGGAGCGGGGCCCACGGCGGCGGGGCCATGCACCATGAGCAAGTGAGGAGGTCCCAGGAGCAGGTCTGCAGTGGGCGCTGGGAAGGCGCTGCCCGCCAGGCGCGTCCCTGCGCTGGCCCAGGCTGCAGCGGCACCGCATGCATCAATCATTAGAAGGGTCAGGCAGCGGGCGCCGGCGCGCGCCTGCACAATCCAGATCTGGTGCAGGCGCCTGCCCTCGGCATCCACCACCCCCTCACTCACGCCCCACGCATGCGTCGGCACCTGCACACAGCCCCAGCCTCCTTGTAATATCATTCGCTTTGGTGAGCGTGGCCCGCTTGGCGCAATGGCCCACCATGGCTGGCACTACCTAACTAGCCCGGCTGGCCCTGGGGCCAGGCTGGAGCGAAAAGAAAGCAGCGCCGTGGCTGCCTTCCTGCCAGCCACCCCACTCACGATGTGTGGGTGGGACAGCGCCCGCGACAGGAGAGCCTCCAGCACGGGGGCGGCCCCGCCGTGCGTGCCGGCGCTGCCCACGCTGCCGCTGCCGGAGGCGCCAAACGAGAGGCCGCTGCCGATGCCGCCAGGACCCCATGGTCCGCCGGGGGGCGGTACCGTACTGCCCCTCCCCCTCCTCCTCCCACACGTCGATGATCTTGACGGCGACGGTACCGCCGTACCACTGGCCGCGGTACGTCCTGCGGGGGAGGAAGAGCGGCAGGCACGGGGCATGGCAGGCCCAGCCGGCGCAGCTCTCGTGCACAGCTCGTGCGCAGCAGGCTGCCGCCATTCAGGTCAGGTCAAGCACCTTGCCAGGTGCCCCCAGGCTCCTCTGGTGCTGCCATGTGCATTGCATCACCAGCCCATGGCCCACAGAGAGAGCCCCACCCCAGGCACCCCAGGCCACACCACGCACCTGCCGCTGGCGCCCACCCCCAGCAGCGGGCCCAGCTGCACGTCCTTGAGCTGGCGGGGGCGCAGGTACTCAACTCTGGCAGCTGCCGCGGAAGCTGCCGCCGCACCCACGGCGCCGCCGCTGCCGCCCGAGCCCGACGCCTGCAGCGGGCGGCGCGTGAGCGTGGCAAACCACCACCGGCCGGCGGCGGCGGCGCTGCGCGACGATTCCTCCTCTCCGCCGCTGCCAGCGTGGGCTGCCCCTTCTCCCTCCCAGCAGGCGACGTCGGCGCCGGACCTGGCCGATGCCAGGGCGGGTATCCCGATCGGCGGCTGGTCTGGGAGGAAAGTTGGCGCCGTGGCGGGGGTGAAGGCGACTGTGAGCTCTGGCTGTGCCAGGCCACGCTGGCTGCTGCCGGCCAGGGGGGAGGAGGCGGCGCTGCGCAGGTGAGTGCCTGAGGAGGGCTGGGAGCGGGTGCCGTGCAGCAGGGTGTCCAGGCTGGCACGCCCGGTCAGCACGCCTTCCAGTTCGCCGCTGCCGCACCCGCAGCCCTCCTGGCCGCCGCCGTGGATCGGCCAGTGGCTCGGGAAGCCGCCGCCGCTGGCGACGGCCCCGCCGCCGCTGCCGGGGCCGCTGCTGTCGCAGCCACCGCCTCGCAGCCGGCAGGTCACCGTGCAGCTCTGCCCCTTCTCCACTGCCTGCTGCACCTCGGCCCGGCTGCGGAGGCTACCTCGTCCCCCTCCTGCCCCTTCTCCACTGCCAGCTGCCGATGCCCAGCCCGGCGCGGGCGCTACGCCAAACAGCTGCCAGAAGGAGGAGCCGGTGAGCACCTCCTGCTCCATCCCCGCCACCTCAGCAGCCGCCCTGTTGGCATACCGAATGGGCCAGCCCTCCGCCTCCACGTCGCACACCAGGATGCCCTCTGCGGCAGGCGGGCAGGCAAGGTAGGTAGGGGACTCGCCCCTGGCGCGCGCGCACGCACACAGACAGACAGACACACACACACACACACACACACACACACACACACACACACACACACACACACACACACACACACACACACACACACACAGTCCCTCGGCCTAAAACTGCGTGCTTCAGGGGAGCATTGTCACGTGCGCCTGGCCCCACCCTGCCAGGTTGCCTGCCGGCCTGACGACAGGAGAAAGAAACGAGGCCCAGCGCTGCGGGCCTCCCGCGAGCAGCCCTCCAGGTGAGCGGCAGCACAGCGCAGCAGAGCCAGCCCAGGCACAGGCCCAGCGCAGCGCAGCAGGGCTGGGCCCAGTGCAACAGCAGGGCGCGCCTGAGAAGCAGCCCAGGCCGCGCACGAGGCGGCGCACACCGCAGCGCGTCTCCTCCAGCGCCATCTGCCGGAAGCGGAGCAGGCTGGCGCCCTCCAGCTCCCGTACCACCGCCTCCGCCAGGTGGACCAGCAGCTGGTACTGCTCCGCAGGGAAGCTGCGCGGGCGGAAGTCGATCAGGCACCTGCGCCATGCGGCGGCGGCGGCACAGGCAGCCAGCGCACAGCGCTCGCTCACGGCACGGGTGCAGAGGGCACGCCATGCCTGCTGCCGCGCCTGGGCCTGGCACGGGGCGGGGAAGCAGCGTGGCAGCAGGCATGTGGCGGCCCCCAGAGGGTCCTGGCTGGCGAAGCGGGCGCAGCGTGCCCGGCATGCACAGCGTGCCCAGCGCGGCTCACAGCGTGCCGTAGCGCAGCCCTCGGTCAGTCGATACAAGCGGGGCGGACGCGTAGAAGCGCATGTGCGGCGGGCCGCGCACCCAGCAGCTGTCCCAGAACCTGCGGGGCGAGTCCCTCCGGCACAGACGACGGTGTTGCACAAGGGGCCAGGAGCAGCCAGGCGGGGTGGGGTGGTGGACGGAGGGAACACGGGCAGGCGCAGCCCGCTCTTGCGATACAGACGGCTTGCAGCTGAGCACCGCGCTGGCACCGGTTGGTGCCACCCAACCCAGCCAGCCCTGCCACTCCCCAAGCCGCCGCTGCCGCGGCCGGTCGAGCGCGGCAGCGTGCCCGCGTCCCGGGCCGACGGCGGCGCTCCGCTCGGCCAGCCCCCGCACTCCCTGCCAACCGCCGGCGGCACATGGCATGCACCCACCTGGCATCCTCCACCATGTCCTCCACCACCAGCATCTCGTGCTGCACCGGCTCGGTCACCCACTTGCAGGCAGACTCGCACCGCCTGCGGCAGCGGGAGGAAAGAACCTGGGTGAAGGCACCGGTGGCGGGGACTGCGGCGGGGCGTGCAGGGAGCAGAGCATGCAAGGACACGTCGGGCCAGGCGTTCTGCGCTCCGCGCAGCACTTCCTGCCGCCGGCGGCGCGGCCCGGCGGCCGGCGCCGGCGCGGCGGTGCGCCCCATGCCGCATCACTCACGGGTACGTCGCCCACTGCGCGCCTCCGGGCCCGTCTGGCACCTCCAGCACCTCCTCCTCCTCCAGCAAATACACGTTGGCGATGGGCAGCTGGAAGGCGGCCCTCAGCAGGCCGGTGACCGCGCCGAAGCGCGGCCCCGAGGGCTGCCGCGCCACCTGCAGCGCGCGCAGCGCGGTCAACCGTTCACGCTCCCCGTTGCCGCTGCACAGATCCTGGGGCGAGACGCCGTAGGGGGCCTCCGGGGGAGGCGAGGCATCGTGCAGGGGCGGGAGCGCGGCCGCGCGCGGCGGCGGCGGCTGCGGCGGCGGCCGCGGCCGCGGCGGCGGCCCCTCCGCCTCTGCAGCGCCGCCCGGCACGAGCTCGGCTGTCTGGCTGCTGCAGCCGTCTCTGGAGCCTGGGGTGCGTGGAGGGCCGTGGAGGGGCGTGGGGGAGCGGGGGGCGCCGCGTTTTCCGGCCTGCTGCTGAACCTTGGAGGCCCCACAGCCCATGGCTGCTCTCTGGGAGAGGGTGGGCAAATGGGGCAGGCGCAGCCAAGGTGCAGTTTTGGGGACAGCGCAAGCACGTGCTTTCCTCCGGGGACTCTTCAGCCACCCAGTCACATGCAGGCTTCGAACACCCAGCAGGGCGCCCACAGACAGGGCTGGCCGCCGAGGGAGGGCTGGCTGCGCAGCCGCCTACGCCGTTGGGAGGCGGCGAGGCAATTGCCAGCCCGCCGCACCTTTGCTCTTGCATGACAGGCTCCCTCTGACTACCCATTTCAGCCGTCTGTGTGTTTGCAAGGAATGCGCAAAAGCGCAAGCCAGCAAGTCGCCGCAAACCAGCAAGTCGGCAGCGCACCGCTGCCACACAGCGACCAGGTCGGTGGTTGCAGCACACAGTGTAGGCCCAAGAGCGCGGCCTCCCAGGCACACCTATGCTGCCACATATCCTGGGGAGCAGGGCATGGGGAATGGCCTAGTTCCTGCGCGGCTCCTGGGCAGCGCAAGGAGGCGGCGGCGGAGGCAGGAGGGTGGTAGGGGCAGTAGTGCCTGCCCGGGGTTTGCCCGCACGGGCCTGCCCGGGGCGTCGAGGGTCTGCTCCGGAGCTTGAAACTGGCTCAATGGCTCGAAATCGGCCTCGCAGCCGGGCGAATAATCGTGCTTTCGCGCGCGAGGGCCTGCCTGGCCCTGGCTGCAGAGTCTGCAGCAGACCCCCTTGAAAGGAGTCGTAGATGCAGCGTGGGGGAAGAGGGCAGATCGGGCGGGAATCAAAGAGGTGGAGGAATGTGGGTGGCTGCGGCAGCCGGAGGACACAAAGGCGGCAAAAAGGCTGGCGCCATGTTGGCGCCCCTCAATCTTCGTGGTCTGGCACTCTTTCGCGGCCAATTCGCAACAGAAATGCTCCCAAAGGTCTAATGAGCCGGATCGAGTCTTAAAATGCGGTGCAAGGAAATTACAGTTGCCAACAAGGCAAAACTGAGCGTGAAATGCTGTGAAATGAGTGTGCCAAACACCAGTATGGTCGGGATCCGGAGGCCTTCGCCTTCTTCGCTACGCTACGAAAGGCAGGCCAAAAAGCGGGCAACATGACGCCCGGGCAACTCCAGCGAAGTTGATGGGTCGAGCCCGCCAATTCGACTCGCACCGCCTCCCATGCCAGAAGCAACAGCTGGGGGACTGCAATCAGCTGAGTCGCGCCTGGGATGGGGCACTCCCACGTGTCCTCCGGTCGCTGGAGGAGCTAGAGGACTCACAGACCCACCCCAGGACGGCTGTTCATGTCCAGCGAGCGATGCTACCTCGAAGACTGGAGCTTGGCCTGGTCCTCCTGGGCTTCGCGTGGAGTGCTGCTGGTGAGCCGCGGCCCATCATGGCTGGGTCTTCTTGTGCTTGCTCGCGGCTGAACATGCACAGAGAAGCCACAGCTGTTCTTACGGAACCTCTTAACCCTCTCCGCCGGGCGCCTGGCTTGCAGGCGAGGTACTGACCCTAACTCGCGGCGTGGCCGGCGCCAGGGGCTGCCTGTCGCTTGCCTGTGCCCTGGCGCGGAGGCTCGGCGCCCCGCGGGAGGCGTGGCCGCACACCATGGGCAACCTGCCGCGCGCGCGCACCAGCCCGCGGCGGTAACGAGTGGCCGCCCGATGAACCCTCTCGCCCTGCTGTTTTTGCAGGGAGTTGTGTCCGCTGCCGCCTGCACACTACCAAACTGCACAACCTGCAGCTCAACCGGCCAGGTAGGGGGGGCGCATGCAGGCGGGTGGCGGGCCAGCCGTGTGGGGCGGCGTGGTCCCCCAGCTGGCTGCAGCAGCTGGTGCCCTGCTGTAGCCCGAGCAGCTCCCTCCAGTTGCCCCAAAGCGTGCCGCAGTGGCAGCAAGGCAGCGGTGGGCTGTGAAGCATGCCGGCCACGCGGCAGCTGGCACGGTCGGCCATGCCGCTTGCGCGGCTCGCTCTGCTCGAGCCCTGCTGCGGCTCGCCTGAGCATGCCTGGGCTGGCCCGCTGCTGCAGGCATGCACGGCATGCAAGGCCGGCTTCTTCGTGAAGAGCGGCAGGTGCTTGCCCTGCTCTAGCGCCCTGGCCAACTGCACGCTGTGCAACCAGGCGGGCACGGTAAGTGCCAGCCGTCCGCCGCCAGCAATCAATGCCAGCAATCAGGCACCTACATGCCGGCGCTTTTGCTGTGATTGCGTGGAACTGCCTCCCGGGCCCCCGCTGGCAGCCAGCTGGCGTGGGATGTAGGCGCCGCGTGCTATGCCTGATGCCCTGTGTTACAGTCACCCCGCTATGATAGGCCGCGTGAGCAGACCTTGGGCAGGGGGCACACGTGATCAAGGGGCATCAAGAGAGGGGGTGGACCATGGAGCACCCTCTCCATGGCTCCGACCACCCTCCCCCCAGCTGAGCGTCCCAGGGTCACCCCACCCTGGCCCCGCTCCCCGTCCTGCCGGACACGCAACCCCCACAACGTGGTGGGGGACGTGGGGATCCTTAGCAGCTTAGGCCTGCCAGGCCGACGGGTGCCGATGCTGGTGCGGGCTCCCGGCGGCAGGCAGCGCCGCCGCCGGGCACTCAAATGGCATGGGGCACATGGGCCCCCATGCCCGCACATCTCCCAGGCACATGAAAATACCAGAAGGCTGCACATGTAAGGGTGCATGCATTGCAGGCAGGAGTGCAAAGTGGCCTGCCGCGGCGGTCGGCTGTGCCATTACTCAGTCAGCCGCCGCTACCGTGCCGGGCTTGGCGTTCCCATGCCAACATGCCGGCGTGCCATCGCGCAAGGGGCCAGTGAGTGTGTGAGGCGGAGGTGGGGGTGGTGGGGCTGCCGCTGACCGTTGCTTGCTGACGCTGACGCTGCTCTTACCTGCGGGGGGAGGGGGTGGGTCGGGAGCCAAGGCCGGGCAAAAGATGCCTGGGCCCTACTCAAGGGAACCGAGGGAGTCACTGTGCCAGGGCAGCAGCATGCTCCTCATGGCACCGGTCGGCAAACCGGGCCAGCCGGCCCTGCCTGGCCTGGCCGAGGAAGGCGGCCAGGGAGGGCAAGGCGTGGCCGGGACTGTGGAAGAGCTCAGCATACTCCTCCCTCAGCCCAGCGTATAGGGGGCAGTCATACACTGCGTGGCGTACGTCCTCTAGAGGGGCCTGGCAGTGGGGGCATGGGCGCTGGGTGCGGTCCAGCCGCTGCCACCGGCCTGTCTCCTCAGCCATCCAGTGCGACCCCGTGCGCCACTGCGCCAGGCGCACCCGGCGCCGGCGCTCGGGCACATCGCACAGGAACGACGCAGGCGTGTAGGCCTCCGCTGCACAAGCGCTCCGCTGTGCCACCTGCAGATTTGCCAAAGATGCGGCACGGGCTTCTTTGTGAAAAGCAGCAAGTGCATGCGCTGCTCCTTTGCGCTGCCAAACTGCAACGCGTGCAACCTAGCGGGCACGGTAAGTGTTGTGCCAGTCCAAAGCAGCAGGTCAGGGCTGGGTGCACGGTAGCATGGCACGGGCCCAGGCGCCAAATGATACGGGCCCAGGCGCCAAATGATAGACACTTCATGCGCTGAATCCTGGCCCCACTACGCCTGCTGCCCCCCTGCCTGCCCCTGCAGAGCTGCAGCATATGCAAAACAGGGTTCTTTGTTGGCGGAAATAAGAAGTGTGCCGCATGCTCCTCAGCTCTTGCCAACTGCACAGCGTGCAACCAAGCGGGCACAGTGAGTGCTGCTGCCGGCCGCTTGGTGGTTGGCTGCGGCGAGCTAGTGCTGGGTGCGCGGCGAACAACTGCACAGCGTGCTGAGGGGCCTCACCGACGAAGAGACAGAGGTGACACTGCCCTCCTATGCCTGCTGCGCTTCCCTGCCTGCTGCTGCAGAGCTGCAGCACATGCAAATCAGGGTTCTTTGTTAACGGAAGTAAGAAGTGTGCGGCATGCTCCTCGGCGCTGAGCAACTGCCTGCTGTGCAACTCAACGGGCAAGGTGCAGGCCCGCAGCGCAGGGCTCAGCCTGGGCAGGAAGGCGTGTGTGCCTGCTGCAGGCGCAATGCGTGCTTGCCTTGATACAATAGAGCATGCAGCAACCCCGGGGTGCAGCAGCAGCCCTGCGGTTGCCAGGCACGCACCATTGCCAGGTGGATCAAGCCTGCAAAACCTGGTGCATGTGCCCTCCTGT